AACCGGGACATTATTATTATTATAATACATATATTACTCTTTGGTTTTTTCGGTAAAGTCACGTAGAAATAGTAAAAAAATAAAAACAGGTCCCTGCAGGGTGGGCTGGTAGGAACATTGGAATTTTGCGCAATTGTATTTTTACACCCCAACAGCACGAGATTTCACTTCGTTAAAGTATGGAAAGGGGACGGACGGACGGACACATTAATCTATTGCAGGCTGGTACACTCAGTTTACAACTTCGTTCCTACCAGTATTATATAATAGCATACGACGTTTCCATTGCAACACAAGCAATCATCATCAGGTACAGAAGAGCTAAATTTAAGAGAGAGAGAGGAAACACATAACCGCAGACATATACAGAGACCTTAAGTAGAGGGAATTAACACAGACACACCATAATCAACGCTGCGCCTCCAATTGGCACGGTTGGCTACGTACGGTGCGCAAAAGATATATATATTTGTTTTACTTCACCAAGCGTGCTCGCATCGCTCGTCCATGACGTCCCGTCTCTCCCCCCCCGCCCCACCGCCCCACCGCCCCGCGCCGCAGGGAACTGCGCGCAGCACCAGAAGGGCGGCTGGTGGTACAACGCGTGCTCGCACGCCAACCTCAACGGCGTGTGGTACGAGGGCGGCCGCTACACGGGCAGCGAGCAGGACGGCGCCTACTGGACGACGTTCCGCGGCACGGCCTACTCGCTCAAGAGCATCGTGCTCATGATACGGCCCAACCCCAACTTCTACCACTGAGCGGCGGGCGCGGCGGCGGCGGTGGCAGGGGGCGGCCGCCGCCGCCGCGCCCGTCACGTGCGGCCGGCGTCGGCGTCGTGGATCGCCCCCCGTTGTCGACTCGATTGCCGCATCGCGGATTATTGTCAGCGGCCGTGGTGAGGGAGTCGGGGGGGGGGGGGGGGGGCTTCGGTTGGGATTCGACGCTGCCAATGTCGCCATCGCAATCAGCATCATCATCGTCATCGGCTTGATACATCAGTGTCGTCATGATCGTCATCTTCATCGTGCTGGATCGAGCAGCAGCAGCAACAGCAGCAGCAACAGCATCGTCTTCTACGTCAGCGTCATTGTTATCGTCGCCGTCAACTCGCCATCGTCGTTGTCCCGTCGTTGTAATGGATCGCCCTCGTTGTCGACTCGATTGCCGTGTCGCGGATGATTATCAGTGGCCGTGGCGAGGGAATGGCTTCGGTAGGGATGTGACGCTGTCAATGTCGCCATCGCAAATCAGCATCATCATCATCATCAGCTTGGTATATCCGTGTTCTCGTCAGCATCATCATCATCATCATCCATAATACAGGTTTTTTTGGGTTAGATCGCGTAAGTATATTTACGTGATTTGTATTACGGGTGATATTAGTCGCGAAAGCCTTCGTGTTAAACTCGATCATCAGCAGCAGCAGCATCATCAGGCTATATCATAGCGTTATTATCATCATCATCATCACCTAGTCGCCGACCAGTCGTTGTTATCGATCGCCCTCGTTTTTTACTTGACAGCCGTGTTGTGGATTATTGTCAGCGGCCGTGGTAATGGAATGGTTTCGGATGGGACGGGACGCTGCCAATGTCGCCATCGTCATTATCATCATCAGCAGCAGCAGCAACAGCATCGTCTTCTACGTCAGTGTTATCATCGTCATCACCTTGCTCAACTCAAGGGTCGTGTTTGAATCTTATCGATTATAACTTTGGCCGCTTGGCATTTTGTGGGCCTTGGTGGCCCTGTGCTCAGCAAACTGCAGTTTAAAAAAAGATAACATCTCTGTCATCAATGTTGTTGTCATCATCACGTTATTTATCTTTAGGGCCAAAGTGGACATCACAATCACGAATGTGATCTTCCTGGTGCATCTTCCTTCGATTTGGTACAATTTCAAACGCAACTTTTATAACGGCGGTAAAAACCAAAAACAATATGAGTCGCAGCTGGGCTACAACTACTTTTTAAAGTTGTATCAACCAATGTTTCACACCCCTGATTGGCACGGTTCGCTATGTACGGTGCGAAAAAAGTTCAACAAATATACATACTGCCCATAGACTCAACACTGCCCATAGACTCAACACTGCCCATAGACTCAACACTGCCCATAGACTCAACACTGCCCATAGACTAACACTGCCCATAGACTAACACTGCCCATAGACTCAACACTGCCCATAGACTAACACTGCCCATAGACTCAACACTACCCAGACTCAACGCTGCCCATAATCTCAACACTACCCAAAGCCTAACACGACCCATAGACTCAACGCTATCCGTGGCCTAACACTACCCATAGCCTAACACTGCTCATAGACTAACACTACTCATAGATTAACATTGCCCAGACTCAACACTGCACCTCCAATTGGCACGGTTGGCTACGTACGGTGCGAAAGAGCATACGTACTCGCTACTATACACTTCCATACACTACGTGACGACACAGCACACGATACGCTGCATGCACGGAGTTCGACCTACGCCACCGCTTCTACATTTCAAATCCCGAGCTGCCCCGCCGCGTCTCCGCCTCGCCTTTCACTGCGACGAGCGCGCGAATAAAAAAAAAACATTCCTCGTTTTTTTCCCCCGCGTCCTCCGCACCCCGATTTAGAGACGGCAACGCGCGCCCGCGCGTCACCGCACGTGCATCACCGGATGAGTGAAACCACGTGACGTTGGCGTGGCTCCTGCCGCTCCCCCCCCCCCGCCCCCCCGCGTGTATCTGGCGCCGTGTGGCAGGGGTGGGGCGGGAGTCTGAAGCGGACAGGCGAACGCCACACCACACCCCCACCCACCCCGACGGGCGCACCGCCGTGCCGGGCTCAATAGGTGCTCGTTAACAGCCCTCGCTCAGCGGGCCCGTCCCACCGCCGCCCGCCCCTGCGTGGGCTACAGGAGGGATCGTTTAGAATCTGCGGTGGCGGTGGCTTGGCTTACGCGCGTCTCTCTCCAGCCTGCCAAGCAAGCGTGTGCTCGGCAGATGATGCGAGCGACTCGGGCGCGCGGAAAACTGGAACAACGCGCTGCCGAAAATATATGTGTAACATCGAAAAGGGGATATACTTTGAAAAGAAAACGAGTGTGGGTTTGTGTCCGTAAAAAAAAAAAAATATATACAGAATGAACGATATAATTGAACTCCATTTGCCGTAGGCAGCTGCGATCCCGTCGTGATGAATCCTTGCCACGTGTTCGAGAGAGAAACCACGGCACACGCTCGGATTAATTAATTCGCTAATTCACGCGCAGGCGATTCATCTCGCGGGGGGCGATGGGGGGGGGTGGGGGGCGGAACTACGGGGTGCGCGTTTTTGCACGTCCCCGCCCCCCCCCCCCCCCCCCGCCCCCACCGCGGTCGGCGCTCGCTAACGCCACTTCACCAAAGAAATAACATCGCCACTTCACCAAAGAAATAACATCGCCACTTTACCAACGCCGGCCCGCGTGAGCGGGACGGACGCCTCTCGCGTAGACGGAGCGCGCCGGCGATGCCACGGCATGAATAAATAAATAATCCACCAAACAAATCGGCAACCTCCTCTGCAACAAGCCGGGGGGGCGGCGGCCCCCCCGGGCCGCATTCGAACCGTGAGGCTCCCCGACGGCCGGCGAACGCTGGGCCGTCGCCGGGGCCCGGTGCACGGAGCCCGCTGTGGACACCGCCACCCCCCTCCAACCACCCCGGCGGAAAACCCGCGCGTCCGGTATGCGAAAGCATCGCGGCGTTTCCGAGCGATTTTAAAGACCGGCGCCGAACGATCGCCCGGAGCTCCGCCGGCGACGCACTGGGAAGGTCTGGCCGACTCCGTCCGTCCAACGAGCCGTACTTTATAAGCGTGGGGGCAAAACCTGCAGTCGGTACCCGGAGATAACCCGCACGTGCAGGGGTGTAGGGTAACGCTCAATCCCCGTACAGATGCAACACAGATGGCAATTAACCCACAGCAAGCCAGGAGGCAGTGAACTGCATGCGGTTAATCAAGAGTCTGCTTTACACACAAGTGTAACCGGAGCACCCAGCGGGATGGCAAAACTCCATCGCGTGCAGATAGAAGAGGCGGAGCTCACATTCGCCATACCGCCTTCTATCTATATTTTATTTAACGATTTTGAAAAAAATTTAACCAGGTGTAAAGGCCCCCAACGAGCTACGTAGCTCGTTTGTCAGAAGCGAGCTGGCCACACAAATGATAGCTCGACGAAGTGTCTTATCATCATCGTCACGTGGACATTCACAGGAACAAATGACTCGGCATGCGTGACGCCGATTCTAAATGAAGGGGGAAAAAAAACGGTGGACCTGGAGAAAAATCCACGCGACCACAGGTAGAGAGAGAGACACGCAAACTCCAAATTTACAGCAGGTGTCACAGGGTCGGGATCGAACCCACGACCTCCTGCATACCAAGCGAGGTAGTTAACATCTCCTGGCCACTGTGATGATGATGAGAAAGATACACAGCAGGTATCAGGGTCGAGATCGAACCCACGACCTCCTGTACACCAGGCGAGGTAGTTAACATCTCCTAGCCACCGTGATGATGATGAGAGAGAGACACGCAAACTCCAAATACACAGCAGGCGTCAGGGTCGAGATCGAACCCACGACCTCCTGTACACCAGGCGAGGTAGTTAACATCTCCTAGCCACCATGATGATGAGAGAGAGAGAGACACGCAAACTCCAAATACACAGCAGGCGTCAGGGTCGGGATCGAACCCACGACCTCCTGTACACCAGGCGAGGTAGTTAACATCTCCTCGCCACGGTGGCGCCCCTGGCGGAGCCAAGGCACCGGGTGGGCACCTTCTCCTCGACGTCCACCCACGGATTGGGGGGGAGGGTGGGGGGGAAGGGAACCTCACGACATTCGCACGGCGATCCACCGACCCTCCCGCTGCTGCTGGACCGCCACGGCGCCGGCCGATGGGGCCCGGCGCAAGTGTGACGGCCGTCCCGGCGGGCCCCCGGGGGCTTACCGAGGTACGGGATGCAGGGCATCATGCGGATGCTGCGCACGTACTCCCGGATGCGCTTGTAGTTGTCCTCCTTGGACATGAGGTAGTCCAGCTTGTCGAACGACGCCTTGTCCTTGCGGCTCAGCAGCTGACAAGAGAAATCATGATCTGAAGCTTTAGTGACTGCAGGAATCCACACTCTTTGGTCCTTTCGGTAAAGTCCACGTAGTGGGGAGAAACATAAAATAAGATAAAACAACGTCGTGATTTGTTTTATCTTATACCTAGGCGACTTTACCGAAAGCACCAAAGAGTAAGAGAAATTATTTTAAATCTTTCTTTCGTCTGGGCTGCTGATGTAGACGCAGAGCCAACAACTACAATTTCACAGCAGATAACAGCAAGCGGAGTGGGTGTATCATCATCAACGTCGTGACGTCTCTATTAGTCTAAGCGTTTATATGGGTCTCTATGGGGTTTTCGAGTTTCTGTTAGTCTCGATTAGTCTGGATCTCTATGGGTATCTATGAGTCTCTGTGCATCTCACTGAGTCTATGGGTCTCTATGGGGTCTCTGAGTCTCTGTGTGTCTCTATTAGTTTGGATCTCTATGGGTATCTACGAGTCTCTATGCATCTCACTGAGTCTATGGATCTCTATGGGGTCTCCGAGTGTCTGTTCTGGGTGACCACATTTGCACCACGACTACTACACAGCTGGAGAGTTTTTAATTTTCCATTTGTGCATCAGGTGTCATCCGCATGGTTTGTGCAGTGGATGCTGTTGACGGTGGACCATGAGCAGCCTCAAACCCCAGGGGATCTTCTGCGTTGGGTCTTTCACAACGTCGTGTTTGTTTGCGAGTTCTAATTTTAATCAACTAGAATTTAGCTGGCCTACGGCCTCCTGTCACCCCCACTGAAGTCCTCTTCTTCCCCCCCCACCCCCATGTGTCCAGATACTACTACTGACTCTATTGTATGTAGGGTGTATAGGTATATATGCCTACACACCCTACATACAATAGAGTCAGTAGATACTATAGAGCCAGTAGGTACTACTGACTATAAAAGGCGGCCGGGCGTGGTGCTGGCCACCCACCCCCTCGTGTGCCACAGTGCCGGAAGCCTTCGCAGGTGCTCGCAAACAGCACTTGCCCCAACGCTCTGTTACAGGCTACACGGGGGATCTTTGCCTTTGCTGCGTGGGGTCTAAATGCTCGTACCCCCCAGGTCTTGGCGAGACGGAAGATAGGGGCACTCTGCAACGCTGACAGCACGGCGATGAGAGCGTGCAGATTCTTGAGCTCATGCAGCTTCTGCAGAACCACCATCAACAACAACAACAACAACGGGTGTTATAAACAACGTCAACAATGATACATAATACAGGCTTTTTGGGTTAGATCTCATGAATTTATGAGTGTGTTTTTAAACCCGCCACTACCCGACACGGCCGGTTAGTGAGGTTTGTCACGTAAACAGAACGTGGCCAATTCGTTACTGGTACAGCACTACACCGGTTGTGTTGCAGAGCAAAGCCACAACATTTACAATCGGAGTACGACGTTTCGCCGGTCACTACAACCGACATCATCAGGCGGCAGCCAGATTTGTGGAGGAATCCTCCTCCTGTTTCGTTCCTTGAATATGGGGGTGGAGATGTGATGATGTCACTTGTGAGCACTTCTTGAGCGAAGTGGGGGGAGGGGCGGGGCGGGATCAATGAATGCGTATAAATGACAATGATTTTAACAACAACATCGAACACATCTGCGATATTATCAACGTCAACAAAAACACAAAACATTGACAACCAGATCAAGCACATCAACCCCAACAACATCAACATTATCAACAACATCAACCCCAAAAACATCAACATTATCAACAACATCAACCACAACATCAACAACATCAACCCCAACATCAACATTATCAACAACATAAACCTCAACAACATCAACTTTATCAACAACATCAACCCCAAAATCATCAACATTATCAACAACATCAACCACAACATCAACCCCAACAACATCAACATTATACTGGTAGGAACTTCCTGGTTACACCACCAGCCCACAGGGGATTATTGTGTCCGTCCGTCCGTCGTGAATCCAAAAATGTGAGGGGTGGGGCTGGGTGAAGAGGGGAGGGGCTGGGTGGGGAGGGAGGGGCTGGGTGGGGAGGGTGGGGTTGGGTGGGGAGGGGCTGGGTGGGGAAGGGAGGGTGGGGAGGGGCTGGGTGGGGAGGGTGGGAAGGGGCTGGGTGGGGAGGGGAGGGGCTGGGTGGGGAGGGGCTGGGTGGGGGGTGGGAGGGGTGGGGCTGGGTGGGGAGGGGCTGGTCACCCCGTGGTGCCCTTATAAAACTCAACGTTTAACCTACTCACGCCGGCTTGTGCCCGTCCTCACAGTCGGGCAAATTTGCGGAATACACCACGTGGTGCCGCCGTTGACCCTGGCCATTGACTGAGCAATCCAACGTTCCTACCAGCTCCCTCCGCAGAAATGTGTTCAACATCAACCCCAACATCAAGCACAACATCAGCCCCAACAATATTATCAACACCATCAGCCACAACAACATTAACATTATCAACACCATCAACCACATCATCAACAAAACCAACCACAACAATATCATCAACAACATCAACCCCACCAACATCATCAACAACATTATCAAACACAACAACATCATCCTCAACATTATCAAGATTCAACATTAACCCCAACAACATCAACATTATCAACAACATCAACCACAACATCAACAACATCAACCCCAACAACATCAACCCAACATCAACCACAACATCAGCCCCAACAACATCAACATTATCAACAACATCAACCACAACATCAACAACCCCAACATCAACAACCCCAACATCAACATTATCAACACCATCAACCACAACAGAATTAACATTATCAACACCATCGACCACATCATCAACAAAACCAACAGCAACAATATCATCATCAACAACATCAACCCCACCAACATCATCACCATTATCAACCACAACAACATCATCCTCAAAATTATCAACAACATTCAACAGCATCAACATCAACCCCAACAACATCAACATTATCAACATCAACCACACCATCAACATGATCACCAACAACCATCACAACAACATCATCTGAAAAAAATCTACACATAGAAAGATTGTTTCGTTAGTCAGACCATTTCCTACAAATGTCCACACGATGGTAGGCCGCTTCGTTCACCTATCATTTGTGATGGCCGGGTCGACCTTGCAAAAAGAGCTATATATAGCGGATAAGTGGGGCCTAACCTGGTAAAATAAAAAAATATATTTTAGTTAAACGTCCCACCTTGGCGATTTTGATGAAATGGCATAAGATTTCCGCCCGGATCTTGAGAGTGCGCGCCTTCAGAATTTCCCGCACCACCCAGAAGCTCACCTGCAAAACGCGCAGAGCGACAAACCCACCCCCCGGATGGTTTGAGTGTGACCGGCTGTGAGGACTCACAGGAGTCTCACTTGAGTGACCTGGGTGAATGCGTGGGTGAATGAGTGGGTGATTGAGTGAATGGATGAGTGGGTGAATGAGTGGGTGGTGTGAATGAATGCTTTTAGCGTGACCAGCTTTGAGAACTCGGAGACTGGGATAGGGGTCTCATTTGCAAGAGTGACCTGGGTGAATGACTAGGTGAATGAGTGAATGAATGAGTGGGTGAATAAGTGTGTGAATGAGGGAGTGGTGTGAATGAATGTTTTTTTTGTAACCAGCCGTGAGAACTCAGAGACCAGGATAGGAGTCTCACTTGAAAGAGAGATGAATGAGTGAGTGGGTGATTGAGCGAGTGAATGGGCAAATTCATGATTGGGTGAATGAGGGAGTGGGTGAAGGAATGAGTGATCGAGTGAGTGGATGGGTAAGTGAACAGGTGAGTGGGTAGGTGCTGGAGTGAGTGAGTGGGTCAATTCACATTCCGAGTTGCTGTTATGTGTGACAAGGTGAAAACTCAAAAGGGACCAGCAATAGGGAAGTCTCATTTTGCAAGCGTCACCTGGGCCACAAAAACGACTAAAAGTTAAACAAAATAGAATAAGTGCAGCGATGCGGAATATAAAAAAGAACCAAAACAACAGAATGGCCCAGCGAGGCGGAGTATCAGTGAGCGAGTGAGCAAGAGAGTGAGTGAGCGTGGGAATGACTGAGAGTGAGCAAGCGAGGTGTTGAGTGGATAAGCGAGTGAACGTATGCGTTGATAGGCGAGCGAGCACCCGATTGAATGACATGGCGAATCGGTACGACAGTGAGCAAAGCAAGCGCGCGGGCGATCGCGCGAGAGCGAGCGAGTGAGCAATGATCGCGCGAGTGATCGAGCGAGCGACGCGTTAGGCGGCTAAAACGAGCTAAGCGCGTGAGCGGGCGAGCGACCGCGATGGAACCCCGCTGATCCGGAAGGGAAGCGCGTACGTGGTTGAATCTGCGAGTGAAGGCGACGACGTTGGGCGCGAGGCTGTGCTTCTCTTTCCTGTTCCACCCGCAGCTCGACAGCTCCTGCCGGCGTCACACACGCAACACGGTTCACAATTATAACGTAACGACGACGACAACGTTAAGAACGCAACACGGTTCACAATTATAACGTGACGATGACGATGATAACAATGATAACATCAAGGACGCAACACCATTAACAATGATTACGTTGCGACAATGATAACGACAAGCAAGCAGCACGAGTCACAATTATAACGTAATGACACTGATGATTATAACGTCACGCACGCAGCAGGAGTGGAGACAGAAAAAACGTCGCCACTCGGGGAGACAAAGGCGGCCGGGCGTGGTGCTGGCCACCCACACCCTCGTGTGCCGTGCCGATCACAGGTGCTGCTACTCGCTAACAGCACTTGCCCCAGCAGTCTGTTAAGGCTATAGGGGCTATCTGTCTTTGTTTATGCGACCACATTTTTACTCTCAGTGTCCTATCCCCAAACAAAACAGAGGCTCCCTGTACTGCACAGGCTCGCTGGCTTGTTGTTCTCCAGATCCTTATCACTGCCATTGTGAAGGAGCTTACCTCTGGTTGAATGGCTTTGAAGACCGGGCAATCCATCAGCGTTATCTGGCTCTGTGTGCACGCGCAACGAAAAACAACCAAGATTAAACCCCCACCGAAGCATTTGGAGAACCATTGTTTCAGACAGGGGGCACACAATCGTGTTGGCTGCAGGGTGGCTCAATAGGTAACTGAATCTGGCGCCTCACGGCAAGAAGGACCTGGGTTCGATTCCCGACTCGGGCGATTTTCTGCTCGGAGAGTTTGTGTGGTTCCCCCCCCCCCACCTTCCCCCCGCAGTTCCGCACGGTGTGAGCGAGTGTGCGAGTTCGTGACCCCGGCGACCCGGATCGATTCCTGTTCACGGCCAACGCCCGTGACGATTATCCGAAGCGGTCCAGGGCCTCCCCTAGGTCGACTCGGCCTCAAATTGGTACCTGGTGCGGTGTGTTAACATCGCCTCCGGGGAGACAAAGGCGGACACGGGCGTGGTTGCCGGCCACCCACCCCCTTCGTGTGCCGTGGCGGCTTTTAAAGGTGCTGCTCGCTAACAGCGCTTGCCCCAACAGCCTGTTACAGATTCTAGTTTCTTTCGGTAAAGTCACGTAAATGGAAATATACATATAATAAAATGTCACGTTTTAATAGGAAAAAGTGAAACACTTAAAACACTCAAAGCAAAGTCTGTTACAGGCCACACGGGAGGGGATGTTTGTCTTTGTTCGCGACGGTAAAGTCACGTGGCCGCGGGGCAACGCGAAATGTTTCGGCTCCGACGCTCGCTCGGTCACTCGGAGAGAGATCACGCGGATTTTCCTGCCCATTGCTTTCGGAGGCTGTTGGAAAATAAAAATCAATTAAAATAACCGGATAAAGGGGGCGTGTCCATGTAACGGTCTCGTCGGAAGCAATCGGCGCACGCTGGTTGCTCGCTTATCGGGAAAATATCGCTTTAATTCGCCGTTCCCGCTGTTGCAGTGTACGTAACGCGCGCGTACGTGTGGTCACAAGCTAGTTCGCTTGTGGGTAACGTCCGCTGTTCGGGTCGTGCAACGGTTAACGCCGCGCCTACGGACCCGGCGACCCGAGTAAGATTCCCGATCACGGCACCTCCAAAGGGCACCGGTCCTCCGCACCGACGGACCCGGTTCCCTCGGCGGGGGAACGTGGAGTTTCCACGTTGACGAGAGCGAGGTTTGCGGGCGGGTGGGTGGGGTGGGGGGGGGGGGGTCCTCACCGCGAACTCCTCGGGCGTGACCTTGAGCACGTCGAACACCACCGCGTCGTAGCTCTTAGACATCTGCGAGGCCGCCGACGGCTTCTCCGACATCGACTCCGTGCTGCTGGTCGACTGCCAGGGGGGCGGGCGGGAGAGAGAGAGAGAGGACGATGACGATGACAGCGACAAAAATATAGAAACGAAAGCTTAGCGTTTTTTTATTTTGTTATCCGGTAAGGCCCCCACCACCAAGCTATGTGGCTCGTTTTCAGAGGCGACCCTGGCCACCACAAACGCGAGCTCAACGAAGTGTGGCTTCTTCTTTGGTTCTTTCGGTAAAGTCACGTAGAATGAGAATAAAATAATAAAATAACACAATCAAATTCTCACGACGTTTCGGCCACAACGCAAGCGGCCGTCTTCAGCTCTGTCGTCCCGACAGGTCTGCACCTTTCACCTGAAGACGGCCCGCTTGCGTTGTGGCCGAAACGTCGTGAGAATTTTATTGTGTTATTTTATTATTTTATTCTCATTCTACGTGACTTTACCGAAAGAACCAAACAAGATGAATCCTTGCAGTCACGAAAACTTCAAATCTAAATTGAAGTGTGGCTTGTCACCATCAGGTGGAAGTTCATAGCAGCCCAAATACTCTCAACGCGCGACGTCGAATTCATAAAAAGCAGAGGGCCCGGAGAAAAATACACGCGACCACGGGGGAGAGAGACATCGTCAGGGTCGGGATCGAACCCACGACCTTCTGCATACCAGGCGAGGTAGTTAACATCTCCTAGCCACCGTGATGATGATGAGAGAGAGACACGCAAACTCCAAATATACAGCAGCAGGTGTCAGGATTGAGATCGAACCCACGAACCTCCTGTACACCAGGCGAGGTAGTCAACATCTCCTAGCCACCGTGATGATGATGAGAGAGCGACACACAAACTCCAAATATACAACAGGTGTCAAGGGTCCGGGATCGAACCCACGAACTCCTGCATACCAGGCGAGGTAGTTCACATCTGATCATGATGTTGACGATGATCCCTAGCAGTGAGTGTAGCTACAAAGCTACCACCACCGCTACCGTCACCACCACTACCGTCTCCACCATTACATTACCACCACCAACACCGCCACCATGGCATCACCACCAACACCATCAGATCACCACAACCACGGCCATCATCGCCCACCTCAGGTGCCTGAGCACAGGAGGACGCATTGTGGCTTCTGTTCCCGACCGCCATGTCCATAGCTCAGGGCCGGGCCTCCGGCAGTCATGGGCTCACAGCGTCGGCACCTGACGCACGCAGCAGCAGCAGCAACAACAACAACAACAACAACAATCACGGACAACAACGACAAGAACACCAACGCGCATTCGGAGATCTCGCAGAGCGGAGAGCAGTTGCCGCGACCTTTCACGTTGCTAAGGCGGTGCTGTCAAGGCGACGGCCCGCGGAAGAGGATACCACAGAGCTAGCTCCGAGTGGTGCATTGTAGTATGTATGTGTGTCGAACTTCTTTCGCACGGTACGTAGCCAAGCGTGCTGATCGGAGGTGCAGTGTGAGTCTATGGGCGGTGTGGAGTCTATGGGCAGTGTTGAGTCTATGGGCGGTGTGGAGTCTATGGGCAGTGTTGAGTCTATGGGCAGTGTTGAGTCTATGGTGCAGTGTTGAGTCTATGGGCAGTGTTGAGTCTATGGGCAGTGTTGAGTCTATGGGCAGTGTTGAGTCTATGGTGCAGTGTTGAGTCTATGGGCAGTGTTGAGTCTATGGGCAGTGTTGAGTCTATGGGCAGTGTTGAGTCTATGGGCAGTGTTGAGTCTATGGGCAGTGTTGAGTCTATGGGTAGTGTTGAGTCTATGAGCAGTGTTGAGTCTATGGGTAGTGTTAGTCTATGGGCAGTACGTATGTATTACTGAGCTTCTTTCGCACCGTACGTAGCCAAGCGTGCCCATCGGAGGTGAGGGGGAAGGACGACAAACCAACCACAAGAAGCCGTTTGTGCGTGGTCACTGAGTGACCCCCCCCTCAAGTGACATCGCTCCTCCCGCAATACAATTCAGGGCACCGAGCCACAGGTCCGCCCCACCAAGTGTGGTCACTAAGGGACCCCCCCCTCCCGAGTGACATCGCCCCCCCCCACTCCCCCCATACGTCTCAGTACGCCAAACGCGGCAACGGCATCCACCGTGCTCCGACACGGCGGCTCCGCCCTGACCACGGGGTGCTTGAATCGTCTCTCTTTTTATTCTTTCAAAAAAGCCATTTCAAAAACTCCTGCCGGAGGACAGGACGAGACAAAACACGTGCAGGCAAAAGTGTCTCGCTCGCTCGCTCTCTCTCCCCTTGCAAGATCAAGATCTGGCTCAGAGCCTTTACCCCTTTAGAGAAGCCTAACAACTCAAGTCACAAGTTAGCGAAGGGGGACGACGGCTCTTGAGATGGTTAAATATGGGGACCCCCTCCCCCGCCCCGCCGCAACAATCCTCCGCCACAACCCCCCCACCCGCCGCTTCTACAGGGAGTCCCAAGAGTCTGGAATCATCGGAAAAGCACGGCTCCGTGTTCTCGGCTCGCGCTCCCGCATTCAGCCTGTTAAATTCAACAGCGAACCCGGCGAACCGAGTTTAGTCCCTCTAAGCTCACGACCCACTTCAGTCGCAATGATCTGAACCGGTCCTGGGCTTCCCCGAGGTCAGTGGTTGTTCAACAGCGACCTCCCTCTGACGCCGATTTCCTACGAGTAGCATGATTTGGACTCGCTCCTCAAGTACTCAGAGACACATTTGGGCCGGCAGAAACAAAACAAAAAAACGAATTCGATATTCCCCCCACCCCCATGATTCCAGACACATGGGGCCACCCCGTGTAGTTGGCCCGGCTCCGGCCTTCTCTCCAACGGATACCCCCGGGCGCCGCGGTGCCCTCGTTTCTCCCGCGGTGCTACCGAATAAAAGGACGCGACAACCGCTGTTTGTTTGACACACACATACACAAAGGGAGTCGAGAGGGGTTGTGGGCTCAATGGGAGGCCCGGGCAGATGTCGCTGTTGGGGGGGGTGGGGGGTGGGCCCCTGGGGGCGACCCGCTGCCTAAGTGGGGTGGAGAAGCAGGCGGCTGTTGGTTAAAAACGGCGGCGTCGGTCATCGGGGGCATTAACGGGACGACGAAAACACGCAGGGGGTGGGGAACGCAGCGTGTCTAGACGTGACTACGAGACACTCACTACATGTCTAGACGTGACTAGGAGAAACTCACTACATGTCTAGACATGACTAAGAGACACCCACTGTATGTCTAGACGTGACTAGGAGACACCCACTCCTTGTCTAGACGTGACTAGGAGACACTCACTACATGTCTAGACGTGACTAGGAGACACCCACTACGTGTCTAGATGTGAATAGGAGGCACTCACTACGTGTCTAGACATGACTAGGAGACACCCACTACATGTCTAGACGTGACTAGGAGACACTCACTACATGTCTAGACGTGACTAAGAGACACCCACTACATGTCTAGACGTGACTAGGAGACACTCACTACATGTCTAGATGTGACTAGGAGACACTCACTACATGTCTAGACGTGACTAGGAGACACTCACTACATGTCTAGACGTGACTAGGAGACACCCACTACGTGTCTAGATGTGAATAGGAGGCACTCACTACGTGTCTAGACATGACTAGGAGACACCCACTACATGTCTAGACGTGACTAGGAGACACTCACTACATGTCTAGACGTGACTAAGAGACACCCACTACATGTCTAGACGTGACTAGGAGACACTCACTACATGTCTAGATGTGACTAGGAGACACTCACTACATGTCTAGACGTGACTAGGAGACACTCACTACATGTCTAGATGTGACTAGGAGACACCCACTACATGTCTAGATGTGACTAGGAGACACTCACTACATGTCTAGATGTGACTAGGAGACACTCACACATGTCTAGATGTGACTAGGAGACACTCACTGCATGTCTAGACGTGACTAGGAGACACCCACACATGTCTAGACGTGACTAGGAGACAATCACTACATGTCTAGATGTGACTAGGAGACACTCACTAGATGTGACTACGAGACACTCACTACATGTCTAGACGTGACTAGGAGACACGCACTACGTGTCTAGATGTGACTAGGAGACACCCACTACATGTCTAGATGTGACTAGGAGACACTCACTACATGTCTAGACGTGACTAGGAGACACCCACTACGTGTCTAGATGTGACTAGGAGACACCCACTACATGTCTAGACGTGACTAAGAGACACCCACTACATGTCTAGACGTGACTAGGAGACACTCACTACATGTCTAGACGTGACTAGGAGACACTCACTACGTGTCTAGATGTGACTAGGAGACACTCACTACGTGTCTAGATGTGACTAGGAGACACTCACTACGTGTCTAGATGTGACTAGGAGACACTCACTACATGTCTAGATGTGACTAGGAGACACCCACTGCATGTCTAGATGTGACTAGGAGACACTCACTACATGTCTAGATGTGACTAGGAGACACCCACTGCATGTCTAGATGTGACTAGGAGACACTCACTACATGTCTAGATGTGACTAGGAGACACCCACTACGTGTCTAGATGTGACTAGGAGACACTCACTACATGTCTAGATGAGACTAGGAGACACCCACTACATGTCTAGATGTGACTAGGAGACACTCACACATGTCTAGATGTGACTAGGAGACACCCACTACGTGTCTAGATGTGACTAGGAGACACCCACTACATGTCTAGATGTGACTAGGAGACACTCACTACATGTCTAGATGTGACTAGGAGACACTCACTACGTGTCTAGACGTGACTAGGAGACACCCACTACATGTCTAGATGTGACTAGGAGACACCTACTACGTGTCTAGACGTGACTAGGAGACACCCACTACGTGTCTAGATGTGACTAGGAGACACCCACTACATGTCTAGATGTGACTAGGAGACACTCACTACATGTCTAGATGTGACTAGGAGACACTCACTACATGTCTAGACATGACTAGGAGACACTCACTACGTGTCTAGATGTGACTATGAGACACTCACTACATGTCTAGATGTGACTAGGAGACACCCACTACATGTCTAGACGTGACTAGGAGACACTCACTACGTGTCTAGATGTGACTAGGAGACACTCACACATGTCTAGACGTGACTAGGAGACACCCACTACATGTCTAGATGTGACTAGGAGACACCCACAACATGTCTAGATGTGACTAGGAGGCACCCACTACATGTCTAGACGTGACTAGGAGACACCCACTACGTGTCTAGACGTGACTAGGAGACACCCACTACGTGCCTAGACGTGACTAGGAGACACCCACATTGTTGAGTCAATACAATATTCTCGTTGCATTCGAACTTCCTCTTTCCCGTAACGAAGTGGTGGCGAGCGGGGACGCAAGCCTTGCGTACCCCCCCCCCCCATCTATCATCTACCCAGCATCCACAGTGCAGCTGCGCCTACTGCTGCACCCACACACACACAGAGTCTACAATAACACAAGCAGCTCGTATCGCAGACATCATTTTAAGGCCGCGTGTCAATGACGGAAAAACAAACGGTCTTACGTTGTAAAAGTCGCGTTCAGACTAGATGGCGCCAGGGGTCTCTCTGAGGTTAGAATCCAAAAGGGGTTCAACTGATCTGTGCTGAAACCTGTTTCTCAAGTGTAGTGTGGTTGATGGTCTTAGCCCGGAAATCAACGACCCATACAGGAGATCCATTAGACTTGCGCAGACTATCGCAACAACCACCACCACTAAGTGGTGGTGACGTCACCACGGTGCTTGTGCCATGCCAGGTGCGCTCTGAGGCCACGTGAAGTGCCAAAGGCCCGCTGGCAGGAGGTCAAGGAGCAGACCCAGATGCCATGGGTTGACCGACTTGAGATGAACCAGCTGTACCCACCTACTGTGCCAACCTGCTGTGTTTTAGCCACCCGGCACTCTGCCCGTTGTTTGAGTGTCGTTCCTCTGCCCTCTGTTGTTGCTGGAGGGCGACTGCCTCCAACTCCCCAGCAGCGTCCTTCACGGGCCTCCTCCACAGAGGCCTAACTTAACACCGCTGGTACCGATAATCGGCAATTCCGATCAGCTCCACATCCTTCTGTACCACATCAGCCCATCTCTTTCCTAGCGCGTGCATAGAATATACAGACCCACAGACTCACATTACAATTCAGACTCACATGGGATCCACAGGCTCGCACAAATACAAAGATTCCCCGTGTAGCCTTAACAGACGGTTGGGGCAAGTGCTGTTAGCGAGCACCTATGAAGGCCGGCACGATGCCTGATCGCCTTTGTCTCCCCAGCGGTGATGTTCACTACACACCGCACCGGACATTCATTTGAGGCGCAGGACCGGTTCAGATATTTGTCCAAAGATCTTGGCCGTGAGCGGGAATCAAACTCGGGTCGCCGGGTTCGTCGCGCAGCGTAACGCTAACCGCTACATTACCGCCCCCCAGGCTCAGACAGACCACAGACAGACTCACGTGAAGACCTGCAGACGTACATTCACTTACGCAGAGGAGGCATACAGACTTACACACAGGGACCCGACAGAGTCACAGAGACTTGTTTAAAAAAAAAATTGGGCTCTCAAGTGTAACGAGGCGATGGTCTCGGCAGCCCGGCCACCAACTACCCACAAGGAGAAGCGCATACTTCACCACGCTGGTCAGCGCGGGTTGGCCAAGTCGGTGAGCGATGACGTGGGAGCACACACAAGTACGGCACGATAATTAAATTTGCCACACCGTCGTATGAAGAACACCACGGACATTTCACAGCATATGTTCATCCACATTTCGCAACGAACGTGTAAAGTGCAAATAAGGCATCTCGTGATAATGTTTTTCCACTTTCCGCCGATGATGATGTTTTTCCCTCTCGCTCCTGTTAGTGCAATGGGCAACCGCTGGGCCGATGCCATCACCGCTGGACTCGTTGCCTCTCTGGTCGTTGCGCAAACCGAACCGGATTTATCTGTAATAGGAGTCTTGGAGTGTTTGCGCAAGCCAGCACGAGCCCACGACTGCCTTCAACCCTTCCTCTTTCAACTGTGACTAACCCTCTATCTTGCGCATAGACATGGCCAAGACACACCCATACAATATTCATATTCTTAGCTCTTTCGGTAAAGTCACGTTGAAGGGACACAATAAAAATAATAAAATATATATAACAATAAAAAATTCTCACGACGTTTCCACCATAACGCAAACGGTCGTCATCAGGTGTGTTTGTGTTATGGTCGAAACGTCGTGAGAATTTTTATTGTTTTATATACATTTTATTATTTTTATTGTTTCCCTTCAACGTGACTTTACCGAAAGAGCTAAGAATATGAATTACTGCAGTCACGAAAGCTTTAAATCAAAATTTACACCCATACAATGTTTACATATGGCTAAGAGACACCCACACAATCTTCATATATGGCTAAGAGACATCTAGACTGTTTAGATATGGCTAAGAGACACCCAGACAATCTCCATATATGGCTAAGAGAGACCCCATACAATGTTTAGATATGGCTAAGAGACACCCAGACAATCTCCATATGTGGCTAAGAGACACCCAGACAATGTTTAGATATGGCTAAGAGACACCCAGACAATCTTCATATATGGCTAAGAGAGACCCCATACAATGTTTAAACATGGCTAAGAGACACCCAGACAATCTCCATATATGGCTAAGAGAGACCCCATACAATGTTTAGACATGGCTAAGAGACACCCAGACAATCTCCATATATGGCTAAGAGACACCCAGACAATGTTTAGATATGGCTAAGAGACATCCAGACAATCTTCATATATGGCAAAGAGAGACCCCATACAATGTTTAGATATGGCTAAGAGACACCCAGACAATCTCCATGTGGCTAAGAGACACCCAGACAATGTTTAGATATGGCTAAGAGACATCCAGACAATCTTCATATATAGCAAAGAGAGACCCCATGCAATGTTTAGATATGGCTAAGAGACACCCAGACAATCTCCATATGTGGCTAAGAGAGACCCCATACAATGTTTAGATATGGCTAAGAGACACCCAGACAATCTCCATATGTGGCTAAGAGAGACCCCATACAATGTTTAGATATGGCTAAGAGACACCCAGACAATCTCCATATATGGCTAAGAAAGACCCCATACAATGTTTAGATATGGCTAAGAGACACCCAGACAATCTCCATATGTGGCTAAGAGAGACTCCATACAATGTTTAGATATGGCTGCCTTAATGCCCCTATTTCCACAAGGCAGCTAAACTCAACCCAAAGAACTGTCATTACTTTCACCCTCAAATTTTCATTCCTTCCAATCTCTCACGAACAAATAATAATAGTAACTTCGTATCCGTAAGAGGTTTATAAATGTGTCGTTAAACCCGCCACCACCCGACACACCTATATTTTGCGTGCTCTAACACAAAACACCTCTTTCACAGATATTGGCCGCGAAACGCCTCCTACGTGTAAAAGGAACTTGGTACAATTCTATATTTAAAGCTTTCGTAACTGCTAGGATCCATACTCTTTGGTTCTATTGGGTAAAGTCACGTAGGTGAAAATAAAATAACAAAAAATCACGACGTTTCGGCCACAACACAAGCGGCCTTCATCATCAGGTGAAGTCTCGGCCACAACACAAGCGGCCTTCATCAGGTGAAGTCTCGTCCCTTCACCTGATGAAGGCCGCTTGTGTTGTGGCCGAAACGTCGTGATTTTTTGTTATTTTATTTTCACCTACGTGACTTTACCCAATAGAACCAAAGAGGATGAACTTGGTACATTTCGTATCCGTGCCACTCTCGTGACGAGGCCTTCATCCAGCAGCGGAGTGGCAGAAGGGCTGCGCGCAACGACATCAACATCCGCCTACCGCCCCCCCCCGCTCCCCCTCCAGATGTTCGGCGACCAAGCAACAATTTTGCGTTCGTTTGGCTAAAACAAACGAACCAAAAAAAATGTCCCGCACGCTTCTAAATGTGTTTATTAGCCGCTGAACAACAGATTCCCAATGCCTAAAAGAGAGGAGCGGGATTCTTCAAGCTTATCTCGGAGATAAGAGGCCGAACATCAAACAGCCAGCCTCTGGCCGTCCGCCTGATAATATCCCGTTGTGATCACCGGCGCAGCGTCGGGAATCGAATTGTAAATATTGTTGTTGTTGGGTGGGTTTCACTCTCCGACGCACAATTCGGTGCGCGGCTGTACCGGTAAACGAATTGGCCACGTTTCGATTTAAAGCTTTCGCGACTGCAGGGATTCACCTTCTTGGCTGCTTTGTGTTGTGGCCGAAACGTCGTGAGAATTAAATTTTATCACGGTCGATTCTTATTATTTAATTATTTCCCTTCCACGTGACTTCACCGAAAGAACCAAGAAGATGAATTGGCCACGCTTCGTTTATACGTGACACAAGCTTGCTCGTTGACGGTGGTGTGGGGTGGTGGCGGGTTAACGCTCCAACACACAACCGGTTAAGTGCTGAACCAGTGACGAGTACGGCCACGTTCTGTTTACGTGACAAAACCCTCAGTGATCAGGCCGTGTCGGACGGTGGTGGTGGTGGTGGCGGCGGCGGCTTGAACGATTTAACCCAAAAACATCGAATCGGCACAAATAGCCTCCTGATGGTTGTTACCCTCTTAACGCGTTTCACGTCGACCCTTAACCGCCAACATCCTAACACTCAGCCAAGAGTGCTGTGGGGGATAAGTGGTGCGAAATGAGATCCTATTAAGGCTGGCTTCTCCACGTGAGAGTTCGCGTTGTGGTCAATAAATTCCACGCCCGGCCGCCTTTGTCTCCCTACTGCTGACGTTGCACACACAGTACCACACCAGGTACTCGCTTAAGGCTGAGTCGACTTAGGGAAGCACCCAGGCCCGGTTCAGATATTCGCTAGTTCCTTGTACACATGTACACAGCAATAGCTGTCATTCGCCACTCATCGGCAGCGACGTCACCACAGCGCTTGTGCCAGGCTAGGTGCACATATAAAAAACACATTGAGACACACACATAGAAAACACACAAGCTGGACATACACACACGCACACATATACGCTCCTCTGCACAACACATATAGAGTGTATATACTTTACAATTTTGCACGGCGTAATTCACGTACCTATATACATATAAACGTATATTGTATTTCAAAGTGATCTGTTCAAATGAGACACTGAGGCGTTTGGTCATCTGTTTTACAGCCCTGATCAAGTGGTGGAGATTCCACATTCCCAGGGCGGGCGCGAGTCTTATCCACAGGACACAGCCACCGTTGCCTTCCCCACAAAGCGGTACCTATTTTACTGCCCCCGAAGGGATGATGGGCTGTATGTACGTTGGGACTTCTTTAGCACCGCACGTAGCTAACCGTGCTAACCAGAGGGTGCGATTAGCACCATATACACGTCCAATACTTGTGCACACACGTTCACATTAAGCATTTCAAAGCAGTATATATCATAAACATTTCACGTACATTTGAAAGATTGCGAAATACCGCAGTGTGTACATACCAATACAACCGCCTACGTTCTAACAAGTGTTTACATTAAATTAAAACAAATGTTTCAAAATACCGAGGGAAATAAATACAGCGCGTGAATATATACGTACGTGTACAGATACACGTTCGTATATAGCTACAATTATTACATATTTAACACAATTTTTAGCGTAAAATACAAACAGCATTACCGGCAAACAGAACATAACTATAGATTTAACATTCATTGCATTATTTACAAACAAAACTCATACATAACAAGCACAGCGCACGGTTTTACACGAACACGAGTATTTAACAACATTACAGAATTAAACAAGAAAACATCTTAACTCCGATGCTACCTGTAACATTCACCGCCTCTCGACTAGTTCCTTCGCCGGGCAGGGTGCCTCTTCTCCCGCGGGTTGCACTAGGCCGCAAGTCCCTTCCCAGGGACAGTTAAAAAAAACGCCGGGTAAATCGACGGCAGCCGGCGACTCGAGGTGTAACGCAGGTCGCGTCCGGGAATAGCGGAATGCTCTCCCGTGCCGTTTCAATTAAACATTCTCACTTTTAACGAAACTCCTTTTTGTTAATTACGATTCCCTCAGCCAACCGTCCAGCCCCCGCTTAAACATGGCCGTTATAGCGGCTTCACATTCCCTACAACGCATGCGCGCGGCGGCACCGCTCCGCGGCCTCCCATTGGTCGAGCCGACGGAGAGCCCGAACGGCTCGGATCAATCGCGGCGGCCCGATTGGCCGAGCGCGGGGGGACGCCCTCGGCCAACGGGAGCGCGAGACTCGACCGGCCGCCGCTTGTCCGCGCTGCGAAATACAAACGCGGGGCGCGGCCGCGGATTTTGAGCGTCGCGATGCAAAAAACAAAATCGACGGAGTGGTCGATTAATCGATACCGGCGAGAAATCGGTTCGTCGAGTCAGAAATCGATACGTGCATTGTGACGGGAATCAACACAATCGATTTTTTTGGTTTGCTATCGATTTTTCGATCCGAAATCGATTGCTGTCGTCACAATGAGTTCGTATTGCGCGGTGGTTGACCTGTACGGCGAGCCTACTGGTCCCCGGCCATGGTAATGTGGAATTTCCATCACTGGCTGAGGGTCGGCACTAGATGCCACTCTTGCTGCAAACCTTTTAAATGTGCTGATTAACTTCATCGTTAAAACACGCATTCATAAATGTCACAAATATTGGATAAAAGTATTTTTTTATATTTTATTTATAAGCCTACGTGTTTTAAACTAAATGGTAGAAGTATTCTTGGGGTCTTTCGGTAAAAGTCACGCAGATAGGTTAAAAGAAAATAAATAAATAAATCTGCGCCGTTTCGAGCACAACACACAAGCAATGACGTCATTGCTTGTGTGTCGTCTTCGAAACGGCGTAGTAAGAATATGAATTCCTGCAGTCACGACAGCTTTAAGTCAAGATTTAAATGGTAGAAGTTTATCTTTACTCCCAACCCTGTCTAAACTCGCCCCCCCCCCCCACGCTCCTGCGTGCTAACGATCCACCCACCGAATCATTCCCTCCGTTCCATCTCCCAGGTAGGAGTACTCATACTCTTTGGTTCTATTGGGTAAAGTCACGTAGGTAAAAAAAATAAAATAACAAAAATCACGACGTTTCGGCCACAGCACAAGCGGCCTTCTTGTGTTGTGGCCGAAACGTCGTGATTTTTGTTATTTTATTTTTTTACCTACGTGACTTTACCCAATAGAACCAAAGAGTATGGATCCTAGCAGTCACGAAAGCTTTAAATCTAGAAAGGAGTACTCATACTCATTCTTCTCCTCTAGAGATTTTTTTACGCGCAATGCATACGCGACACTGTGGCTGTCAAGACATGTGAGGCGACGTTTCGGAGCCCTTCATAAAACACAAGGGACACCCGACTAATCTGTTTAATAATTATAAACCCGAATTATCCCGGAATCACTACAATCTTTAGACCGGAGGAATCCGATCGGCTTGTGAAGCTTTTTATTCACAGATGTTCAGCAGACACGATCTAGTGGACGCCTTGGGATGGGGTTCATCCAGCAGTGGATAAGACCGTTGTTGATGATGATGGCGGTGGTGGTGCCGATGACTTGATACGCGTTGGCTTGTGAAGATGAGATAGGCGATGAAGCTTCAAAGCACGGGTTCACATCGCTTTCTCTCTCACTCACTCACGGTTTTGGGGGCCGTCCATAAATGACGTCACGCACCGAGGGGGGGGGGGGGGCAGACATTTTTGACGATGTGTGACGAGAGGGGGGGGGACAAATGTGACGTCACATCAAAATACGCAACTTTAAATAAATATAGACAACACGTTCTACTTAATTAAATATACTTTATAATAAATGTTTTCTCCTACAACATCAGAGTGTCAGCGCCACATTAAACACGCACTACAATGACAATAGTTTAAAGCGATTTGAAGCATGTTTTATTTGGGGGGGGGGGGGCAGAGCTTAGTGACGTCATATTTGAGAGGGGTCTGACTTTGTGACGCTGTGTGACGAGGGGGGGGGGTCAAAAATAGTCCAAAATCGCGTGACGTCATTTATGGACGGCCCTTTGACTGCGCGTGACTCGAGTCACTTATTAACAGAACACTCACAGACGCACGGACACACACGGAAGGCATTGGTTGGTGGTGGGACGTGTGTCTGTGTGTGTGGGACAAATATCCCCCGTATAGCCTTTCACAGACTGCAGGGGCAAGTGCTGTTAGCGAGCAGCACCTATAAAGGCCGGCACGGCACACGAGGTGGTGGGTGGCCAGCACCACGCCCGGCCGCCTTTGTCTCTCCAGTGGCGATGTTAACGCATCGCACCAGGTACTCATTTGAGGCTGAGTCGACCTAGGGGAGGCCCAGAACCCAGTCCAGATAATCGTCACTGGGTGTTGGCCGTGAGCGGGAATCGAACCCCGATTTTGTTGGACTATCGTGTGCGTGTGTGCGCGCTTTTATAGTTTGTGGGTAGCGGTAGTGTAGCGGTCAGCGCTACGCTGCGCTACGAACCTGGCAACCCGGCTTCGATTCCCGCTCACGGCCAACACCGGTGACGATTACCTGAACCGGTCCTGGGCCTCCCCTAGGTCGACTCAGCCTCAAATGAGTACCTGGTGCGGTGTGTAAACATCGCCACTGGGGAGACAAATGCGGCCGGGTGTGATGTTGGCCACCCACCCCATCGCGTGCCTTGCCGGCATTCATAGGTGCTACTCGCTAACAGCACTTGCCCCAACAGCCTGATCAGGCTATACGGGGGATCCTTGTCTTTGGTGTGGTTTATAACAACAGTAAATATACAAGCCGCCGAGTAGGAACATGGAGAACCACGGTGGCTAGGTGATGTTAACTACCTCGCCTGGTGTACAGGAGGTCGTGGGTTTGATCTCGACCCTGACGCCTGCTGCTGTATATTTGGAGTTTGCAGTGTCTCTCTCTCATCATCATCACAGTGGCTAGGAGATGTTAACTACCACGCCTGGTGTACAGGAGGTCGTGGGTTCGATCCCGACCCTGATACCTGCTGCTGCTGTATATTTGGAGTTTGCGTGTCTCTCTCTCTCTCATCATCATCACGGTGGCTAGGAGATATTGACTACCTCGCCTGGTGTACAGGAGGTCGTGGGTTTGATCCAGACCCTGACGCCTGCTGCTGTATATTTGGAGTTTGCGGTGTCTCTCTCTCTCTCATCATCATCACGGTGGCTAGGAGATGTTACCTACCTCGCCTGGTGTACAGGAGGTCGTGGGTTCGATCCCGACCCTGATACCTGCTGTATATATTTTGAGTTTGCGTGTCTCTCTCTCCACGTGGTCGCGTGGATTTTTTCCCTCTAGATTTAGAATCAACGTGGGTTTAGAGCAGGGGTCCCCAACCCCCTGGCCGCGGACCGGTACCGGTCCGTGGCCTGCTCAGAACCTGGCCGCACAGCAGCAGGAGGTGAGAGCGGTGAGTCCGCACGTGGCCCGCCCCCATTATTTTATTATTTACCACTTCCGTCCGCGCCTCTTTCCCGCACTGCGCAGTCTCAGTGTTGGTAAGCCCCACAAGCTCTAACCCCTAGTAGCCACAATGAGTAAGCCCACAAGCTCTAACCCCTAGTAGCCACAATGAGTAAGCCCACAAGCTCTAACCCCAAGTAGCCACAATCAGTAAGCCCACAAGCTCTAACCCCTAGTGGCCACAATGAGTAAGCCCACAAGCTCTAACCCCTAGTAGCTACAATGAGTAAGCCCACAAGCTCTGACCCCTAGTAGCCACAATGAGTAAGCCCACAAGCTAACCCCTAGTAGCCACAATGAGTAAGCCCACAAGCTCTAACCCCTAGTAGCCACAATGAGTAAGCCCACAAGCTCTAACCCCTAGTAGCCACAATGAGTAAGCCCACAAGCTCTAACCCCTAGTAGCCACAATGAGTAAGCCCACAAGCTCTAACCCCTAGTGGCCACAATGAGTAAGCCCACAAGCTCTAACCCCTAGTAGCCACAATGAGTAAGCCCACAAGCTCTAACCCCCTCGTAGCCACAATGAGTAAGCCCACAAGCTCTAACCCCTAGTAGCCACAATGAGTTAGCCCACAAGCTCTAACCCCTAGTGGCCACAATGAGTAAGCCCACAAGCCCTAACCCCTAGTAGCCACAATGAGTAAGCCCACAAGCTCTAACCCCTAGTAGCCACAATGAGTAAGCCCACAAGCTCTAACCCCAAGTAGCCACAATCAGTAAGCCCACAAGCTCTAACCCCTAGTGGCCACAATGAGTAAGCCCACAAGCTCTAACCCCTAGTAGCTACAATGAGTAAGCCCACAAGCTCTGACCCCTAGTAGCCACAATGAGTAAGCCCACAAGCTAACCCCTAGTAGCCACAATGAGTAAGCCCACAAGCTCTAACCCCTAGTAGCCACAATGAGTAAGCCCACAAGCTCTAACCCCTAGTAGCCACAATGAGTAAGCCCACAAGCTCTAACCCCTAGTAGCCACAATGAGTAAGCCCACAAGCTCTAACCCCTAGTGGCCACAATGAGTAAGCCCACAAGCTCTAACCCCTAGTAGCCACAATGAGTAAGCCCACAAGCTCTAACCCCCTCGTAGCCACAATGAGTAAGCCCACAAGCTCTAACCCCTAGTAGCCACAATGAGTTAGCCCACAAGCTCTAACCCCTAGTGGTCACAATGAGTAAGCCCACAAGCTCTAACCCCTAGTAGCCACAATGAGTAAGCCCACAAGCTCTAACCCCTAGTAGCCACAATGAGTAAGCCCACAAGTTCTAACCTCTAGTAGCCATAACGAGTAAACCCACAAGCTCTAACCCCTAGTAACCACAATGAGTAAGCCCACAAGCTCTAACCCCTAGTAGCCACAATGAGTAAGCCCACAAGCTCTAACCCCAAGTAGCCACAATCAGTAAGCCCACAAGCTCTAACCCCTAGTGGCCACAATGAGTAAGCCCACAAGCTCTAACCCCTAGTAGCCACAATGAGTAAGCCCACGAGCTCTAACCCCTAGTAGCCACAATGAGCAAGCCCACAAGTTCTAACCTCTAGTAGCCATAATGAGTAAACCCACAAGCTCTAACCCCTAGTAGCCACAATGAGTAAGCCCACAAGCTCTAACCCCTAGTAGCCACAATGAGTAAGCCCACAAGCTCTAACCCCTAGTAGCCACAATGAGTAAGCCCACAAGCTCTAACCCCTAGTAGCCACAA